AATATTATCATAATAATATTATAAAGGCAGATTGTTATATTACGATAAATTTAATATTAAACATGTCTGTGATTGAAATTAAATAAAAAATGAATATATATTGGACACATATAAGAAAAAAAAATTTAAATAAATAAAGCTAAATTAACGTATCATATATATATATATATTTTTTTATTAAGATAAAATGAATATAGTAATGCTATCTATGAAATATGATCTATACTAAATATAAAATATATTCATTTATAATATTCGAGAATTCCCTAAATTAAAATATATATGAACTTAATTGTTTTTAATCTTTTTTCGCTTAAAGCAAAGTTTTATATTCTTATATAAATTTCAAGATAATATTAATTTAGAAAAATATAATTTTAAAAAAAAACAAATAATAATGAAGATATGAAAATTAATAATTTTTTATTATAATAAACATCAGAATTGTAATTATAAATTAAAGATATATAAATAAAATATAAAAGAAAATATATTAAAAATAAAAATCGCACATTAAATAAAATAAAAAAAAAGAAGATTTTAACTATTATGAGGAGCGATAAATTTTGCAATCAATTAAAATTAATTTAAAAATGCTGTAGAAATAATATAGATATTGAAAAATATTTGACACAACCTTGTATTTCTTATACAAATAACTAATTTTTATTTTTTGATGATTGTTATAATATAATATAAGCAGAATTAAAAGATGTAATATAAAGCAGAATTAAAAGATGTTTAAAAAAAATGTTGTGTAAATGGTTTTTCTTTTATTTTACAGTATATCATTTTTATCCCAAAATTACAATAAGTTTTCCAATTATATTATATGAACAAAAAAAAATACTATATTATTACATTTATAAGTAATATATAGAATAAAGTAAATATTACAAGTAAAGTTCACGACATAATGTGTAGATTTAACATGAATTGTATAGTTTTAACAATATTCTATATTAGTTCCAAACCGTTTGTAGAGCTATGTTATTAAGTAATAAAACACTAATAAAATAGTAATAAAATTGATTTTTTATAAAGTTCTAGTGCAAAGTTCGTATAAATTAAATGCAAATCTACGTATAAGTTCACTAAATATTAAGTTCACAGAGTTCTCAAGTTCCAAACTTTATAAATTCAATTTCTAACAAGTTTTGTTGTTTAAGGATTAAAAATGTGCATTTAAGAAATAATGAAGTTTTTTTAAAGAATTAATAAAAGATAATAAAGTTATTTAATAATAAAAAGTTAGTGTTTTAACTTTCTTCTAATTTATAAAAACGCTAAACTTTCTCATATTTATTACAGACGATCGCGATTAAACCAATGACATTGCAAATCAAAAATTTATTTATCAATTCCCAATAATATCCTCAAACTAAAGAAAATTCCTTAACTTAAACTGGGAGAAAATGTTACACGAAGAATCCATTATTTTCATAAAAATCGATCTATGAATATTTGTTATAAATTTCTTCGAACATAATATAATGCTATTTATCATTTGAAAAAAGCATAGAAAATGGCATTTAAAGTTTCAAGATTACATTTAATTAAGTTGACGTATTCTTAGAAATATACAATGTCAAGGCTTCTCTAAATATTTTTCTCAAAAATAGCATTGTTCTTTCGCAATATTGTTTATATTCTTTGTTGTGCTTAATATTTTATTTATTAACGCTATCTATTATCTAAAAACAGTACTACTAAGGAATATATATATTACAGTCTACATTACCGACTGTATAGACTATACTATATATATAATCTAATAAAAATCACAAAAATATTTTCATTTTTATAAAATTGCGTAAAATTAAATTTAAAATAATTTTAACGTGATATAAATACATTCAATATTAAATATTGAAACAAATATTTATAATATTAAATATTTAATATTATAATATTATATAAAATATATATATGTAAAAATAATAATATATATATAAAAAATATATATATATTTAATAGTATATTGGGAATATATATAATAAATGTTGAAAAGATTAAAAAATAAAGTTCATTCAGAAAATATTTATAGAATATTTATTTACGAAAAAATAATTATTATAGAAGCATATAGAAGAAAGTCCATTCATTTGAAAAGAATAGAATTAAGAATAGAATCAAAAGAATTCGCAAGAAAATTTATTATAGAAAAAAATAGAAATTTATATTTTAATATTTATTATTATTTATTATATTTAAATCAATATATTTTTTGTATATCTGCCTTCATTTTATTATATTGATTTTTTTTTTAATTTATATATTTATTTAATTCAAAAAATATTCTTTGAACTTTTTTTTATTTATAATAGCATATTTCATAATATAAATATTAGAAATAAATATATTTTCTATGTTTAAATAATAAAAACATTTCGAAGTATATCATCTATTTGTCGTGGTATTTAAAAATATTATTATTATTTAAAAATGTACTGATAATTGAAGAAAATAGAAAACAATTGAATGTATATAATAATTGTAATTGAAAAATTACAATCAGCGTATAAGAGAGATATATATTTAATAATATATATTTGCAAATTATTTAAAATAGATACAATCATTATATCTATATATTAATAATAAACAAATTAAAAAAGAATAACGTTGAAGAAAAATTTAAACTTTACTTTATTCTAGTTATGTGAAAGTGAATATATAATATAAATGCATGATACGATAATACGAAAAATACATGTGAGGCATACTATATAATAATTTAATGAAATATCTACAAAAGCAAATCAATGAAAAAAAGAAAGAATCATCATTGACAAGTAAAATCTAGAGAGACTATATAATGAAATAAATAAAGGAGAATAAAAATTCTAAGTTATTCCATCCGAGATTGATTGCGATTATATTCTGATTAAATTACATTTACAAATATATTACAAATATATTACAAATAAATAATAATTACATTTCATAAGTTTCAAAATTAATAAAAAATAAGATTCATGTTTAATCTTTTAAAAATTAATCTATTAAAAATAATAAAATTTAAAAAAAATGATAAAATAATCAAACGATATTAATCTTTTTTTAATTTCATATTGAATATATAAAATCATATATAAACTAATAATTCAATTTACTTTATTTTGATTTAATCATTAAATATAAAATTGTGCTTTGAACGTTTATTTTATTATTGTAAAACATTATTATTAAATACTTACAAAATAATTTTTGCTTAATTAATTCACGTAATGAAAATTCCATTATTATGAAGATTATATTATGACTTTATATTCTATAATAAAATGTTCTAATTATTATTTTAGATTTATTTACAATTAAAAACAATCAAACAAAATTAATAAAAAATTAAATAGTAAACCATAGATAGTTATAGAATTCCATTTATAAAAATATATAGAAATACAAGCACATTCATAAATAAATTTTTCATGCATAACATCTAATTCCTTCATCATCTATGACTTTTTATTCAATTAATAGAAGTTCATGTTTATATAAAAAAAATTTCATGATTTTCTTTATAATGCATGATAAATTTTTAACAATATATAATTAATATATTAAATATTATGTATATATGTAAAAATAATTTATAATAATAATTTATAATTAGATTATAATAATAATAATCTAATATTTAAGAAATAAATTTTTTATTTTGTATCAGAGATACAATATATTTTCAATTATATTGTAAAATCTTTCATATAAGTAAAAACTTAGAATTAAATAATTAAGTATAAAATTTTGTTTATATAAATATTTATATAAATACAAAATTTTACTTTTAATCATTTTTTCTAATTTGCTAGTTACTTAAAGAATGTATATAACATACAAAGTCTAATAATTAACATATTAAATACAAAATTGGTTTAAATAAATTATTCTAAACCGTCACATACATCAAAAATGATATACAGTATAGTTTGATAAATATGTTATAATATATATTTTTTAAGAATTGAAAATTTATCGGATTTTTTTATATGCATGAATAAATTATATGTATGAATTAAAATAATAGATAAAATCAATTATTATAATTTAATATATTCTCGAATGTTTATTATTTTAAAATTTTGTCATATTAAACAATTTATATTATTTTTATATTATTATATTTATCAATTTATATTATTATATTAAAAAATTTATTATATATATACCATTATAATTATTTATTAATTATATTATAATTTTATTAATTATTATTATTATAAAAAACCCTGAACGTAAGCCAAATCACTATTTCAAATAATCACATTGTTCTCTTTATTCCCTTCTTAATAATAATATAAATAAATTATTCAAATTATTTTTTTTAAATTATGTATTTTAAATTAGACAAAAGTTTTATTACTAAACTGCTATTAAAATTAAAAAAAAAATAATATTCTTGAGAAATAATTTTGTCCTAATCAGACAAATTAATTGTGAGCAGCAAAATGCATTTCGAAAAAAAAAATTAAATTGCACAGCGAAATTTATGTTACTTCTACTATTTTTAATATACACTTAAAAAGTATTTTTTATGTAATAATCATTTATAATTTACTTATCAAACATATAAAAATCACATATTATGAAAAAGAAATTTATAATATACTGAATTTAATATATACAAGTATGAAAAACTAATAAAAATAGCAAAAAAAAAACTTATCGTAATAAGGAAAAAAAAATAAAGAAAGGACTTACAATAATTTAAGAATTTGATGTTACATGAGGATAAGATGCATTCGTTAGATTTAGGTAAATATCTAAGAAGCTACTAGATTTATAAATTCCTAAAAAATATAATATTAAAATAAAAATAATGTAATAAAAAATAAATATAGAAAAGCTATTTCCTCTGAGATTTCGATGATTTTTAATATGTTATAGAGAATAAGATTTTGAGTAACTTGTTCTTATATATATAACGAACAATTGGTTTTAACTCTCAAAATATTTGCAAAGAAAAAAATTGCTATTATTATATAAAATTTCGCTTATATATATATATTTGTAATAAAATAATTTATGCCTTTCAATTTTATCAATTATTTATATAAAAATATCAAGACAATCAATGAATTATTATTATTATTATTATTATTATATTTATTTTCATGTTCCACAGATTCGAAATTCTTTATAAATAAATATAATATTAATATCTATCTAATAATTTTGTTATCTATAATAACGTATAAATAAATGAAAATTAATAAATGAGTCGTATATATACATATATATATAATAGACCAAATTTTATGTAATAACAATCTTCTTTTGGAAATATATCAGAAATTAATAATCATATAAAGAAAAAAATTCACAATTTTGCCATCTATAATATATTTAAAAACTATCGAAATCGAAGATAGTTTTTCTACTTCATCCATTGAATCATATAAGATTAAAAATATATTTCATTTGGACAATTGCAAAGCTTCTAAATTACATTTTTAGGAATTAGTCAAAAATTTATTAATAATATCTATATTATAATAGAATAAAAACTACAAATACAATATAGTTTACGGATTTCTTAAATTTATATGTATTTATATATATTAATTTATATTAAATATATATATAAATTTAAAAAATATATAATATTTACCTTGAATGATCATTCAATATTGTATATTCAATATTCATTTCTTCAACAAAATTCAAAAGTCAACTTCTTAACATAGCCCAATTTTTATTTTTATTTTTTACATAACATTTTTATTCGATAAATGAAGAAAAAATAAGATTTAAATTTATTATTTATGTATATCGATTAAAAAACGATTTTTTATTTAATAATATAACTAAACCATTATTTTTACATAATTCAATAATTTAGTAACCAACTATGTCAATTGAAATTGTTTTCTTAATTCAACGATCTACACTCTTTCATATCTTAAACACAAAATGCATTCGAACAATACTGAAGCGATACCAACTGCTTTTTTTTTAGTTGATTGGCTATAGACAAGGACTATAATGGAGACTGCGCGCAAATTCTGCGCAGAAAGTTTCTTCTAAGCATTCTTACAAAATCTAAATATAATTATTTTATTAAATATAATATATATTTCAATTATAAAATTAAATAAATATTTAAGATTTTAGGAAATTAAATATTTATTTTTATTCAAATGTTTATATAAATATATGTCAAAATACGAAACTTGTCATGCATATTCGTTTTAAGTATTATAAAATTTAAATGCAATTATTATTACTTTAATTTTAAAAATTAATAAATAAAATTAATGAAGAATAAAAAAATCATAATTTTTATAATAAAAAAAACTCATGCTTAGAGATCTTTTATTATATTGTAAGAATCAGTTTATATTATACAGTCTTTTATATATAAAAGATATTATATATATATATTATATATATATATATATATATATATATATATATATATAAAATATATATATATAATAGTATACAGTTATAATTATATATACAATCATTTATAATACAGAAAATATTATTCACATTGCAAAAATTTATATTTTTTTTCGTTATTATATTCGTATTATATTTCGTTATATATATTTCGTTGAATACAAAAATAGTGTTTTAAAAAAATTTTTCGTATTCATGAATCGGCACACACATGTAATAATTATTATAACTTAAATTATCAAATAATAAATAAATCAAATAATAAAGTATTTAGTTTTGTTTACATTTATATTATTTTCTATTAAAAAAACGAATAAAACTAAAAAGTTTTCAATTAATTATGAAATAACTATAATATTAATTTCATTAGAAATATTATTAGATAAATTTGTAAAAAAATAAACCGTTTGATAAAATTTTATATACAAAACATTCGTAAGAGAAAAACTATTGTAAGAGGAATTAAAATTTGGAAAATAATGCTTTTCTTAAAATTGACAAAAAATATATGTACATTCTTGAGATGTTCATGTTGAATTATCAGTTATTATCTACAATCATAGATCGTTCCTGAATAAACAAAACGAAAGTGATTAAACAACTATCTCAATATTATTTTATATATTGTTATCTGATATTTTTATTAAAAAATAATATTAATTAAAAAAATATTCCTAACTTTTTATATTTTATCTTTAAATATTTGTTCAAAATTATATAATACAGAATGATAAATAACTTTTATTCATAAAAATGAACAATTTTATTTAATAAACTACATTTTCTATATATTTATATATTTTTTATATATATATATTTTGCATATATGTTACATATATATTATATTTATATAAATATTCATTGTTTTAACCTCAACACAATTCAATAAATAAATAGAATTAGTTCCAGCAAATGTTTTGAAAATATGATCCTTATCTGAAGAAGTGTATTTCCACGAATTGGTTTGTTATGTTATTTAATACTTTAGCATCGAAATAAGATATAGAAAGTTGAAATGAAATACAAAAGATAAAATAAGAGAAAATAGTTCTTTATATATTTAGTTCTTTTTAGCTTTTTTTTACAATGAATTTTGAAGAACACTTCACATGCGATACGCATTTGATCATAAAATATTATTTATGTAAAATTTAATCCTTATTATGCATAAATTTTCAATGATTAAAGTTATGAAATTTCTGTTGTTTAATTTAATCTCTTTACTATAAGAGATATAAGAGATATCAAAGGCATTGTTATAGTACTTTCAAAGCATGATGTCAAGTAAAATATTATCAGTCTTTTGAGTTTTTTGTTTTTATTATTAGATGATTCTATAATAAAAAAATTCCTCAATTTTAATTTTAATTTTTTTCTTTTTTTAAAAATAATAATAATTTAATTTAAAAATAAATTAAATATTCATATGTTTAATCATTAATTTTTCTGAAGAAGTTAATTCTTATTGCTATGATTGAATAAAAATTTCGATAACTCTCTTATTAGTCGATTAGTCTAGTCGATAATTATTCGAAAGTGTTTCCTTCTGATTTCATGATCTTTGAAATATATAATTAAAATCATTATTTTTAATAATTTTTCTTCATATGTATCTATATGTTATTAGTATTAGTTCTAAGATATTTAACATAATAAAATAAACTTAACATAATAAAATTTTTGTTAAATATTTAGATTTATGATAATATATATCATATTCTTATTAGATATTATTATTTGTATTTAAATATTTGATAAATATTTCTTCTTAAATGTCTTAGTTTATGAACGAATTATTGACAAATAAATCTTCATATATTTTACACTAATTCAAATATTCTATTATCAAAACCAATAGTAACTTTATTTCATATGAAACATTATGAATTTTTTCTTTTATTGATTAATATATTAAATTATATAGAAATATAATCGTGATTAACTAATTGCTTAGGCCAGAAGAAAATTATATATTGTGTAATACTAACAGAAAATAAGATCAATTAGATAACATATATATAAAAAAGAATTATTTAAAATTGATTTTTACAATATATAAAAAATCATTGCAAATAACATTTTCTAAATAATTAATACATTTTTATATATATATATTTTAAAAAATCATATTATTTTAAAATTTCGAAAGTTTTTAAAAAATAAATCATAGATAAAAAAATAAGAAAATTTTTTCAATAAGAAAAAAATAAAAGGAAATACATTATATAGTATAATAGTATTATATTTAGTATAATATAGTAGTATATAGAGTAGTAGTATTATATTTGTCTATAATAAAAAATATAATACTAAACATTGTTTTTTAATAACAAAATAATTTTTTTTTCATTACATTATGATAGATTTATATTTTTTTAGATTTTATTACAATATATCTTTGCATAAATATCTGCATCTATTTTCATCATGATAATTTATGATAAATTTATAATAAATAAGATTTGTATCATAAATATTATATTAAGTTTTTATTCGAAGCATATATCATAATATCTGTAATAAATGTGAAATCAATTTTATTATATATAATATAATGCACATGCTTGGAATATAATTTAATATTTAATATTCTTTTCTAAATCATGATATAAAATAAACTGCAGTAATAAACTTATTGCATTTATGTTGTATGTTATTAGAAATATACATAATTTTTTGAAAAAATGAAAATAATGAATTAAGAACATATTGAAAGTGATGTTTAATATTTGTATACAAAGAAAAAGAAGAAAATAAAGTGTACTGTTGACAAATTATTTGTTCGTTTAAGTATAAATAAGAATATACATATATTATAAATAATAATTTTCTCAAACTTAAAAAGTAGTAGATAAATTATATTGGTCTCGAAATATGCATATAGCAATTATGTTATTCTTGTTTTTGTTCAAATTCTTCGGTCTTGCCACATTTTCTTTAAATCGAAGAAATTCGAAGATATCATCTTCAAAAAACGTTGTACTTTTTGTTGGCTCTAAACTGGGAATATTGTACAACTTATTTGGCAGCTTTCTAATAATTGCATCAAATTTCTTCTTAATGCCACTTATATTTTATGCAGAATATGCTTTTAGAACAAATATGACAATAATATTAGAAACTTTCCAAGCATTATTAGGCAGTTCAGTTATAATTTTGACTTTATTGTCTTATTGTATATTTCAATCAGTTATCACAAAGATTGGAAATTATTTGATTCGTATTGAGATTATATTACATCGTCTGCAACAACCACTGAATCAAAAATATATTTTCAATGTTCTATTCTTCGTTTGTTTATTTCAATTGGTTATATTTGTCGTTCTTTTAATTACTGAAATCATATATTTCAAACCTGAACCAATTACATTATTAGGAAATCTCATACCTACGACTTTCACAAGCTTGCTCTTCGTTCAATATTTTTTTGTGATTACTTTAATAAATGAAATTTTTGTAAAATTAAATTGTATTATACAAAATTTTTATCAAAATAGATCGGATGATTTCAATTCTAACATATTGTATCAGAATCGACGTATATTCATGAATTATTCAAGAATTCATCTTCTTCTTCAAATTCGAAATATACATGATCATCTTTGCAACATCTCTAGAGAAATTTCACAATTTTATGCTTTTCCTACTCTTATTGGACTCTGTTTTATTTTTTTTACATCATTATATATCATTTATTTCTTTTTGGTAGTTTTTCTTAAGAATATGAATGTGGATCTTATGCTCACTATAAATGGTATACTTTGGATAATATTGTTGTTATTTCCTTTCGGTTTATTAACTTCGAAAATAACTAAAATCGTAAACGAGGTAAATATATCTAAATTTTTTTCCTTTTTCGAAAATTAATTATTTTACGAAATTTAATAGATTTTTTTGCACAGATTGAAAAAACTGGATGTATTGTACACATATTATTAAATTGCGTGATCGATCAAAAAGTAAAAAAAGAGGTAAAATCAATCATTTTAATTTTTTCGTTATTTTATATTAAAACATATTCCAGCTCAAACAATTTTCATTTCAACTGTTACATCAAAAAATAATATTTTCAACGAATGGATACTTTACATTAGATAATGAGTTCTTTCAATCGGTGAGTGAAAATTGGTTAATTAATTTGAATGTTATTTGAAGATAATGATGAATATCTATATTTCAAGGTGGAACGAAAGAATTAAAATTGATGATTATATTTTAATGATGAAAAAAATTTATTTCTAATTTTAATTTAATTTTTAATTTCTAGATTTAATAAACTGGTTATATATTTTTAAAATTAATTATTTCAAAATAATTTTGAAATTTTAATTTTTTGTTTTTCTTTTAAATTTTTAATTCTTATTTTTATTATTGATCATAATATTATTTTTATTAATCTTATACTTTAAATTTGATAATTTAAAATAAATGTATAAATTAAAAATAGATAAAAACTTATAATATAATATTTTTTTTTTAATTCCAAATCTAATTTAAATGTCATCATTATTGTTATATTATTTTTTCATTATTACATACTTTATATAAATAGAAAGATTTCTTTTTTCAATTAAAAATTATGGAAAATTTATAAAAATGATAATAAAAATTGAAATCATCAAAAATGAAAATAATAATTTTTAAATAAATTGTAGCATCTAAAAAATTTTATCGATCAAATTCATATTTTAACAGTTTAAATATCATTATAAAAGGCAAAATTTTTCTTATTTAGAATTATATTAAAAATTATAAATAGGAATGTTGTCCCTGTTTCGTTCCATCTTAATACATATAATATGTATACACTATTTATTTGATATTTGTGATTTCTATTGTTAGATGATCAGTACAATAATTACATATTTAGTGATTTTGCTTCAATTTCAAACATAGACTTCAAATAAATAAAAACATTAACTCCTGTATGCAATGCTTATAATAAGAACGTACTTACAAATATTTTCGAATTGTCAAAACTTACAATTGAAAACGAAGAAAGAAAAGAGAGATCTCAAATTGTTACCATATATAAACATATGTGTATTTGAAGAAACATATAGTAGGTTGTTGTTATTGTATATATTGGATGTCGTAGTTCATCGTAGTATCGTACATTCGATCAATGCTCAATGTTTCTTTCTAGTTATCTATCCAAATATAAACCTCTACACTCACATTACAACAATGATTATTTCTATTTGTTTTATCATATTTATTTATACATCTTTAATAATTACATTTTTAATACATCTTTAATAATGAAGCAATTAATTTAATATAATATATATGATAAATGCAATTTTAATATAAATATAATATAAATATAAATTAAATTCAATACAATATGTATATTATGTAAATATAGATTATGTAAATTACTAATGGAATTATACTTTTTAAAAAATTAATTTAATTATTACAATAATTAATTTAATTATATTACAATATAATGCATATAGATTTCATGAAAATATTGCCATAGATTTATCATCATCTTTGCATCAGCACAATGATATTATCGAATATTGATATTATTACATATGATATTATACAATATGATCGAGTCGATTGCGATTATGTAGATCGCTTAGAATTGTGTATATATATTTTTGTAATTATTGATATAAATTATTTTAATTATTTTTTTCAACTTTCAAATCTTTGAACTATTCTAATTCATTGATTCATTATCAGTGATTATATTTAAACAAAAAATAATTGGAAATAATAATTCAAATAATTTTATTTAAATAAGATAATGTTTGCAGATTTATTTTATTTAACAGTTATATTAACAACTATATCAAAATATTTATCTAAAATATATATATATTTAAATTATTATTTGAAAAATATATTAGAAATAATTATTTTAAAGTAACATTTTTTAATTCTAAATTTACATTAATTGTTTTAAAAATTATTTTTCATAATTATTATATAATAAATTATATAATGAATTATATATTGTATTATAATAAAAAGTATAATTAACAATAGTGCGGAAAAATATAAAATGAATTAATTATAATTTTTGTTTTATGCTAACGTGCATATTTGAAACAAAATTAGACAATATTATTCTACAGAAATTACTTCTAAAAAATGACTAATTTATTATTAGTGATTTCAATCGTTTATTTAATTTATTTATTTACTTTATAACATATAAAATAAATAAACGATTATAAATAAATATAATTATAAATATTTAATTATAAATAATTATAAATATAAATATATAATTATAAATTAAGACGTATTTACAGTTATTTAATGAATTATTCATATAATAAAATAAATTTTACTTATACGAAATTAAAAAAAATATTAGATATTTTCATATAATTTCATATAATTATATAATTTTTTTAAGAATAATATTGAAATAAATGAAATGAATAATATTGAAAGTTTATAATAATGTAATATTATTATAATATTATAATAGTTAGAACAATTAGGGCCTCTAATAAATCATGGTCATTTTATGTTGATATTAAGAAGTTTGATATTGCTTAATTGATTTCTTATTTAAATTATTTTTTATTATTATATACGAATATATACTATTATTCCAAAACAATATTTATAACCTTTGAAACTGTTAAAGCTTAAAAGTGTGTCAAGGTATTAACCTACCATTGAATCATATTATCTTCAATAATCTTTAAAAGGAGGACGCTTCATCAGCATGATACCCATAATATTCAACCTTCATAAATCATAATTTTATTATTAAAAACAGACTTTCGAATTATTTTTTCCCATGATCCTTTATATCTTAAATAATGTTGTAAGTTATGAATGTATATCGAATCAATTGTATAAAGTATAAAATGAAACTGCATAAATGTTACTAAAGTATAGTAAATACATTAATATCTTATAATTTTTACTTTTCTTTCTACTTTACTTTCAATATACTTTATATATAAAAAAATAATTTTATTTTTTAAATTATATGATAAATATATAAAAAATTATATTTAATATAATTTATTATTTATTACTTATTACATATTATTATTATTTATATAATAATTATTATATAATAATAATATTATTATTTATATTATTATTTATATGAATTAATATTTAAAATATGGGAATTTTGTTATAATATGAAATAATGTAACATAACTGTATAAAATATAATGTATAACTTTGATAAATTAATAAAGTAAAAAAAACTATTCATTTTCAGCACAATATTTAATATTTATTCAAATTGTATATAACATCTTATAAAATATATTATTTCATTAAAAATAAATAAAATTAATTATTATAATATAATTATATATTAATTATATATTAATTATAATATAATTATTATATTAATTATTATATGATTCCATACGCCTATTTATAAAAAAGAATAATTAAGTTATAATTATTTCTTTACTGTACAATTTTTCTATAAAATATTTTTTTATAGCAAATAATTTTTTTTTTATTAAAAGTAGTCACGTTATATAACTCACAATGTATAACCACTGATGCATGCAATGATGTATTAATTTCTTTTAACAGAATAATAAATTTTTAATAAAAGAAAAAAGAAAAAGGCAAAATTATAATATTATATTATATATAATATAATATATATATATATAATAATAATAATTATATATATATAATAATTATAATAATTGATAATTGTATGATATTTTTGATATTATTTCTAATATATAAATGAAATATTAAAAATTATAAAAAAAAATTATAATTATTGAAAAATTAATTTCTATTAAGTTTCTATAATATGTATGGACTATTCTTTCAATAGATTTTCATATAAACAGACGAAGATATAATTTCAAAAAATAGTTTTATTCAATGATGTATTGATAGCTAAGCATAATCGATTTTTAAAAGAGTTGAAGAGATATACAAACGAATTCTTTAAACGAAATCAAAGGAAGAATTTTTAGAATCATTTTTGGACAAAAAATTAAAATAAAAGATTTTCAAATAGCAATTAAGATATTAAAATTGTATCTTTACACAGAATTTTATTGTATTGTACATTCTAAAGATTGGAAATTAAATTATATTAAATTGTTGAATTAAATTGTTAAATATTAAATCATAAATATATAGAGGATATATAAAGGATAGAGATTATATAGAGATGGTAGTTAGATGCTTTTGAAATTGTAGAAGCTTCAGAAGATAAAGCTCAAATTAATTTTCAACATCATATTCAAAGAATTAATCCATGAGTACAAATTTAATATATATATTTCCAAGTTGACTTCACATTAACATCGTATTATATATATAATTATGAAAAATTATTTTATATATATTTTAAATTTATATTTATATTATATATTTATATTATATATTTATTATATTTTATATTTATTTCTACTTTCATACAAATTTAAAAAAAATATTATTATTAATCCATAAGTATGTAAATTGTATTTATTATACAATGCTCAAAAATAACTCATATGAGCAAAAAAAGTATATTCTTATTCTAGTGATGATAAGATATGATCTTATATTGTTTACTTGTACTGACTGTATCAATTCTATTGAAAATAATAATTCAAGTTTGCATTTCTTTTAGAAAATTTTTATTTAGCAATAGATACGGAATATTTTTTTAAAGAAAATCGAAAGCAGATAATTTAACGCTATTTGATTAATTTATAACAAGAATTAAATAGAATTTTTATAAATGACATTTTGGTAAAAAAACTCCAGACCTAAGCCTAATCATTTAAAGTGATGATCAAATGTTGAGTATCTATTGTGTGTATACATATTATTTAGAAAGTTTGAAATAAGCAAACAATCCAAGGTTATATTACTTGCTTAAAAGATAAGTATATTATTCCTAAAAGATCTGATCACGATAGGATTGCTAGACAGAAATATTATCCTCTTCACCACTAAAAATTTTTCTACGAAGAATATATAACGTATAATCATATTATTCCCACTACTGCTAGATTAGGCAAAAGTATATCACATAATTATGCGATGCTTGCTATAGGCAGAAATTTATTCACATGACATGCATCTATTTAATTATATTATTAACAATAATAATGGAGATAACATAATATCGTATATTTTCCTGTGAAAATTCAAAGAAATTAAATTTTTAATGATAATATACTGTCGTTATGCGATAATCTTAGATTACAGAGTTGAAAAGTTATCATTTAGTAAAAAGATTATAAGTGATCACTCTGCATTTATCATTAATAAATAGAATAATAAAACAGAATAACAAAAAAAAATTTCTAACATATGTATATACAGTGTTAATATTCTATTCATAGGACATTATTCTAGAGATTAAAATACAATATAATAGTTTATAAAAAAATAATTTGAGGATTATGGATTATTATGAGTAATTTGATTTTATTAGATGAAACGAGATAAAAATAAAGCGAGACAGTAAAATGATTGAAATAGATTATTTCATTCTATGTTTTGTTTTATTTTTTATTTATATAAAATTCATTGTTTTTAACTTAATAAATAAATTAATATTTTTATATAATAATTTTTTTGTATATAATTCTTGTGTTAATATAATTTTCATGTTTGTTTTGATTTCTAGAATCGATTCTTCAAAGATATTCCGAAAAAAAATTAATTATAGAATGTAATTATAGAATTATTTCTTGGTAAAATACAGGATATTTTTTTGATGATTGTGTGGAATATTTTTTTGAGTTCAAGTTACGGTGTTAAATGACTCTTTTGTAAAGAATTTTTGTGTTTTACCAAAAGTTAAAATATTATATAACTTATATATGAGATATATATTGTTGATAAAAGTTAACAATTTGTTTTTAGTTTATATATATATATATATATATATATATATATATATATTATATTATATATAAATGTTTACG